AGCCATGACTGCCCACTAGCGTCAGTACGCCCATTGCTACCATTCAGTGTACAACCTGCGCTGAAACTCTCTTAATTTTCACGTGATTTTGTGTTTTTTTGTATAAATTTTTAGTAAATTCATTAACCATGAATTCTAAGAAAGTTAATGAGAAGAGCCAAACAACAAAGAAAATGGTTAGGATCACCATGGAGGTGAAAAAGAGAGATTGTAGAAAAACACGAAGGTGGCATGTGTATCCGGGACTTGGCTGCTGCATACCGTATGCCGAGAACAACAGTACGTATCTATGATTGTGAAAAATTGAGATATTAAATCGGCTAACGTTGCGAAGGGGGTGAAATTGATTACCAAACAAAGATCAGGGACATTAGAGCATGTTGAAAAATTTCTTTTGCTCTGGATAACAGAAAAACTGTGTGCCGGCGATAGTGTATCAGAGGCAATGATTTGCGAAAAGGCAAAACTGATGCATGCCGATCTTTTGAAAAACAAGGCAGGAATGAACCTAGAAAGTGAAGTGTTTAAAGCCAGTCATGGCTGGTTTGATAATTTTAAGAAGAGGACTGACATTCACAGTGTTGTGAGGCATGGAGGGAGCCAGTGCTGATAAAGATGCCACCAATGATTTTGTGGAGGCTGAGGGTTTCATTCCCCAGCAAGTTTTTGTGACAAAACAGGCCTGTTTTGGAAGAAAATACCTATCAGGACCTATATTACACAAGAGGAGAAGGCATTACTAGGACACAAGCCAATGAAGGATAGGTTAACTCTCTTGTTCTATGCCAGTAAAAGTGGGGATTGCAAACTGAAGCCTCTACTAAGGGCTTTGAGGCAGTGTCTCTAGTGGAGGATACTGTCTCTCTGGGCAGGTCCATGGGTCTGGGTGTGAGTGATGGTGATGTGGAGGAGTTAGTGGAGGGGCACAGGGAAGAGCTGACCACTGAGGAGCTGCAGGAACTCGAGAAGGAGCACAAGACTAAGATGGATGCACTCTCTTCAGGTTTGGAAGAGGAGATAGAGGAAGCCCCTACTTCATTAATCAAGGGAATCTTTGCCAAATGGATGGACATCAAAAACTTTGCAGAGGAGTTCCACCCCAACAAAGCCCAAACAAGTTGTAATAGCACTGTCTGGAATGACCAGACAATGTCACATTTCCCATCCGGGGGGAAGGGCAGAAGCAAATTCTTGGATAGTTTTCTAGTAAGACCAAACCGGGTTGATTTTCAACAGGCCAAATAGGGGAGAGACAGAAAGGAAAAGGGGGGCTCCCCTTTCCCCAAATACATAATAACTTTTTTCCCCTCCCCCTCAGCACATCCTATAGGCACTCGACTTTTCAGAAAAGTATAGTAAATTTAAATTTGTTTTATTTTTTTAATTCTTTGTATTTAGTTTTTTAGTATTAAAGCAGTTTTAAAAATTTTTTTTATACAACCCCATAAATGTATAATATGCCAAAAAAACAATAGGAGGTTTTTCACAGGAAGGAAAAATCGTTTTTTTTTTTTCTTAGGGAAAATTTGTTTGGATACATCCTTTTTTGGTTAAAAGTCCAAGGCCCTGGAATGGTTTAAAGGGATGTATACCAAGGTCCCACGTTTTTAATACTGTATTTAATAAATTGCTTATTACCCAAGCATGACTTATTTCCACCCAGAACATTTCAAAAAAAAAAAAAAATAGCAGGTTTCTCTCAAAAACACCCCAATGTTTCCCCAAAAACATTCTGACACTTGTACATCTCTAATCTTCCATCCATTACCTATGGTATCTGGCGGGAAAAAAAACCCAGCAAATTTGCCTTTAACCTGTTGTTACTCAGAAAAAAATCAATTCAAATAATTCCCTTTTGGGCTCCAAGCAAAAAACCCCCATTTTCAAAAAAGTTTCCATTTTCTATGTTATGGACACTCTTCAAACTTTAACCCAGATCTTAAATTTTCTGGAAAGCTGCAACAAACACATGCACATAAAACAAAGAAAAACTATATTTTTGACTTCCATGTGTACAAATTTAACCCGTTTTAAAAACTCTGTGAAAGAAAACAAAAAATTTTGGGAAATTTTGCCCCAAAAGCCTAAAGTTTCCATTGCCCCAAAAGGGTTTTTTTTTATTAATATCTGTAAATTATGTTTATATTTCACCACGCAATTCAACCTCATGTACCCATCCACATATTACATTTGCTGGGTCACCCCAGGAAAGACCCCGGCGGGACTACTCCGGTAAATCAACCCAGAATCTACATTTGCAGGGGAAATAAAAAAAAAATGAAACATAAAAAGCTTTTACTGACTAATGTAATTTTTTGAATGACCAGTTTTAATTTTCAACTGTTTTATTACCCGTGATTGGTGAAATAAATCAAATTATGATAATCAAAAATGTTAAAAACAGGTTTTGGAGGAAATTTACAGTTACAACCTGGAAATCCCTGTTTGGGTCTTCAGGGAATCAGTGGCAAGGTGATAAAGGTTTCAGTCCCCCTGCTGAAATGCATCCCCCCCCGCCCCCGCAGGCCCCGCTTGACTTTGGTGCCTGCCAAAATCCCCCTTGAAAACCTGGGCATTTGGTAACCCATTATGTAGGGGGATTTAACAGTCTTACCCCTGCCATTCTGTTTGGCTTTAGCTACTAGGGAAAAGTTTATTAATTTGCAAATGTGCTAAGTCTTTTCTTTCATAAGTTTTTCTGGTTTCAGATTTAAAAGAAACCCCCCCTTTGTTTTCAAAGGGGTTTATCATGTATTTTTCTGCTTGCATTCCAAAAGTACAGGTAAAGACTTCTTTCATTTTTATTTTTATTATTTAACACATTGGGGGGTTAACCGGCGGGGGGCCCGAAAAAGGGCTTCATACTCATCCCCCTGTCTTGGGAAGGCATGCTTAACTGTTTAAAACTGCAAAAAACCCCTTTTTAAGTGTAAATTACTTCTATTCCAGGAATCAGTCGGCCTTTTTTTTTTTAACCCCCTTTATTTTCCAAGTTCCCAGTAATTTAGGTGCTTTACTGCACTTTTACAAGCAGTGAAAGTTCTCTGAATATTCTCCAGGTCTGCAATTTTGCCTGCCTTGAAAGAGGCTGTTAGTGTACAGCAATATTCCAGACTAGAGAGAACAAGCAATTTGAAGAGAATCATTATTGGCTTGGCATCCCTAGTTTTGAAGGCTCTCATAATCCATCTTAACATTTTCCTAGCAGATGTGATAGAAACATTGTTGTGGTCTTTGAAAGTGAGATTCTCTGACATTGTCACTCCCAGGTCCTTCAAATTAGTTTTTTGTTTGGAATTTGTTTTATACTCCGATCCAATTTTTATTTCCTCAAGTTTTCCACAGCAGAGTAATTGAAATTTGTCTTCAATGAACTTTATTTTGTTTTCTGTGGCCCATTTAAAGATTTGGTTGATATCTGCTTGGAGACTTGCAGTATTTTTAATGAATGACACTGTCATGTAAATTCGGGTGTCATCTTCAAAGGAAGACACAGTGCTGTGGCTTATATCTGTATGTCAGATATGAGGATGAGGAGCAGGATGGTAAAAAGCTCTGTCTCTTGTGGGACTGAGATTTTCACTGTAGTTGACTCTGACTTTACTGTTTACTATTACTCTGTGAGTTCTGTTTGTTAGGAAGTTTTAGATCCAATTACCCACTTTTTTATATTTCTTATCACATATTTTGTGTGCTATTACACCATGATCACCTTTGTAGAAGGCTTTTGCAAAGTCTGTGTGTACTGTACTACATCTGCATTTTGTTTGTCCTCAGTGCATCCAAGACCATGTCATCGTGGTCCAGTAGTTGTGAGAGGCAGGAGCGACCTGCTCTAAACACATGCTGCCCTGGGTTGTGTAACTGATGGGTATCCAAGTGGTTGGCAATCTTGTTTCTCAGAACTCCTTCAAAGATTTTTATGATGTGAGACTAGGTGTTCCATAGCTAGATTGCTAGTGCACTCAGCTCACACACTGAGGTTCGGAGATCGAATCCCCAGTATGGCTGGAAAACATTAGGAGGCATTTCCATAATACACCTGCTGTCCATGTTCAACTATAAGTATAATTATTACTATTATAATTATGGGGAGCGCTAAACCCGTAGGACTATACAGCGCATGTGGGGGGATGGAAGATATTCATGCTCAATTCAGGTAATCGGAGTACAGATCCAATTCCCTATATCAAGAGCCCCTCACCAGCATCAAGGAACCTCCCTTGAGGGGCCCATCAGTATAAAAATTGATACCTGGTGTGGGTCGCATCCTGGGACAAAACTGACCTAATCTGCCTGAAATGCAATGTATAACAAGCGGCTTTCTATATAGTAGTACAGTATATCATTAAACTCAGCTAGGTTTGTATATCTTGTACATGTACTTGTAGAAATAATAATAATAATAATAATAATAATAATAATAATTATTATTATTATTAGTAACATACCACATTATAATTGTACTCAGGTGTACTTGTACCTAAATATACTTAGATTTAAAGAGTTTGTAAGCCTTATGAGTAGTTTGCCTGAAATGCATTGCATAATTAGCTTTCAATTATATCAAACTATACCTGCATTACGTAATAAAAATACAATCAACTGTAATATATAACTACCTACTTTAAGTTTGGTATAGCTCAAAAGAAATAATTTTAATGTCATTTATTATTTATAAACTCAATTAAAGCATATTATTATTATTATTATTATTATAATCAAGGGGGAAGCGCTAAACCCGGAGGATTATACAGCGCCTGGGGGGGGGGATGTGGAAGGCATTCAGGCTTAATCCGGGGAACTGGAGCACAGATCCAATTCCTTAAATCAAGAGCCCCTCGCCAACATCATCAATTAAAGAATAAAAAGGCAGAATACCATGACTGGAATACACAAATAACCCGCATATAGGAGACACTTATGACGACGTTTCGGTCCGACTTGACTGTTAACAAGTCACACCACTTCTCAAGGTAATCACGATAATAATACATCACCTGTGTGTCCATTGGTTCCATTAGTAATCTTCTCTACAAGATTATCATCAACAAATGTGACAGAGAACTTGCTCTTGGCGCGAGTCTCCATGTTGTTGTTGGTGGGAGTTGTTAAGAGCCACCAAAGTTTATGCCTTATTGAGCTCTCCGACTGGCAATGTTGCTCATCTATTTCCTCTTGAAAAATCAAATAAGATAAGATAAGATAAGATTTCGTTCGGATTTTTAACCCCGGAGGGTTAGCCACCCAGGATAACCCAAGAAAGTCAGTGCGCCATCGAGGACTGTCTAACTTGTTTCCATTGGGGTCCTTAATCTTGTCCCCCAGGATGCGACCCACACCAATCGACTAACACCCAGGTACCTATTTGCTGCTAGGTGAACAGGACCCCAATGGAAATAAGTCACTGTGTCTGACTTTTTTGGGTTATCCTAGGTTCTCTACACATATGCTGCTATGTATGATAATTCTATGTAACTGTATTTGTGTATACCTGAATAAACTTACTTACTTACCCGCCGGGAATCGAACCCGGGCCCTCCGTGTGTGAAGCGAGAACTTTTAGCAACCGGGTCACCTAAATGACTTCATAAATGACTGGTCCAAAACATCCAGGAATGAAAACCTTCCATCTCATTAAAACAAATTTAGAGAGTGCTTCTGAAGAAATGTTGAAACTGATTAATTTTATGAGCCAAAATATTGATGAGAGTGACCGCCTCTTCACCGAGTATGAATTAGATAATGCATTAACTAAAGGTCGATCAACTGCTCCTGGAGAGGATGGTAAAACCTATGATATTCTCAGAACTCTAAGGCACGTGCCTGATAACCCTTTGTTGGCACTGTATAATCTCAGTTACAATGAGGGCGTTCTTCCTACTTCCTGGACCAATAGTCTCATTGTGCCTATCCCTAAGCCCCAAAAAGCCATATACATTTAGACAAATCTCCTTAACTAGTTGTCTTTGTAAAACTTTTTAAAGAATGATATTTAACAGACTGTACTACAGAATCAGACACCAACTTTCCCCTTACCTCTATGGGCCCATGAAAGGTAAAAGTGTGCAGAACTGTATTTCCACCTTTCTCACTGTGCACACCTCTACTAGTTTTACCACTTTTCTTGATCTAAAATCTGCATTTGAGTCATCCACACCATCGTATGTCCTTGGGTAGCGAGTACAACATCCAGTTCCGCTGGATGCGCTACTCTTAAGGATTGTATGGTTAGTTTAATATCTTTATTATGTACCCCATACCCATCCTGTGGGCGGTAGCCAAAAGATTACAGAGGTACATAATGGGTCCAGGGACTGGACCCCAAAGTTATGATAGCTGAACTAGTTACAAAGGTAATGAACTCCAGGTAGATCTGGTCACAATCATGGCAAGTTGAAAAGGTAATGAATCAGCCTCACTCCTATATATACCCGGAGTTTACCTGGAGAGAGTTCCGGGGGTCAACGCCCCCGCGGCCCGGTCTGTGACCAGACCTCATGGTGGATCAGAGCCTGATCAACCAGGCTGTTACTGCTGGCTGCACGCAATCCAACGTACGAGCCACAGCCCGGCTGGTCAGGTACCGACTTTAGGTGCTTGTCCAGTGCCTGCTTGAAGACAGCCAGGGGTCTATTGGTAATCCCCCTTATGTATGCTGGGAGGCAGTTGAACAGTCTCGGGCCCCTGACACTTACTGTATTGTCTCTTAACGTGCTAGTGACACCCCTGCTTTTCATTGGGGGATGTTGCATCGTCTGCCTAGTCTTTTGCTTTTGTTGTGAGTGATTTTCGTGTGCAAGTCAGTTCCTGATCAGCCGGGCTGTGGCTCGTACGTTGGTTTGCGTGCAGCCAGCAGCAACAGCCTGGTTGATCAGGTGCTGATCCACCAGGAGGCCTGGTCACAGACCGGGCCGCGGGGGCGTTGACCCCCGAAACTCTCTCCAGGTAAACTCCAGGTAAACTAGTCCCTCTAGGATTTTCCAGGTGTATATAATCATGCATCTCTCCCACCTGCATTCCAGGGAGTACAGGTTCAGGAACTTTAAGTGCTCCCAGTAATTGAGGTGTTTTATCTCCATTAGGCGTGCCGTGAATGTTCTCTGTACATTTTCTAGGTCAGCAATTTCATCTGCCTTGAAAGGTGCTGTTAGTGTGTAGCAATATTCCAGCCTAGATAGAACAAGCGACCTGAAGTGTCATCATGGGCTTGGCATCCCTAGTTTGATGGTTCTCATTATCCATCCTGTCATTTTTTCTAGCAGATGCGATTGATACAATGTTATGGTCCTTGAAGGTGAGATCCTCCGACATGATCACTCCCAGGTCTTTGACGTTGGTTTCTCGCTCTATTTTGTGGCTGGAATTTAGATAAGATAAGATAAGATTTCGTTCGGATTTTTAACCCCGGAGGGTTAGCCACCCAGGATAACCCAAGAAAGTCAGTGCGTCATCGAGGACTGTCTAACTTATTTCCATTGGGGTCCTTAATCTTGTCCCCCAGGATGCGACCCACACCAGTCGACTAACACCCAGGTACCTATTTGCTGCTAGGTGAACAGGACAATAGGTGTAAGGAAACGTGTCGGAATTTCCACCCGCCGGGAATCGAACCCGGGCCCTCCGTGTGTGAAGCGGGAGCTTTAGCCACCAGACCACCGATTACAATCACGAACAAATTACAAAGTAATGAGCCACTGATACGTCCACACCTGCTCACAATTGTAATGAGTTATAAATACAAATATTAAGTGGGTCATACACCCACACGAGCGCGCGCATACACACACACGAGGGCGCACGCACAGACACATGCACACGAGTGTACAAATATATGCATACACACAAGCACGCGCACACATGCACGCACACACACACATACACACACACACACACACACACACACACACACACACACACACATACACACACACACACACACACACACACACACACACACACACACACACACACACACACACACACACACACACACACACACCAGTGAAGAGGCGGGGCCAGGAGCTCGGACTCGACCCCCGCAACCTCAACTAGGTGAGTACACACACACACACACAGGAGGAGAGTGGTGGAGCACCTGGAAAGAAACAAGTGTATAACTGACAACCAGCACGGTTTCAGGGAAGGAAAATCCTGTGTCACAAACCTACTAGAGTTTTATGACAAGGTGACAGAAGTAAGACAAGAGAGAGAGGGGTGGATCGACTGCATTTTTTTTGGACTGCAAGAAGGCCTTCGACACAGTTCCTCACAAGAGGTTACTACAAAAGCTAGAGTATCAGGTACACATAACAGGAAAGGCACTGCAATGGATCAGAGAATACCTGACAGGGAGGCAACAACGAGTCATGGTACGTGACGAGGTGTCAGAGTGGGCGCTTGTGACAAGTGGGGTTCCACAGGGGTCAGTCCTAGGACCTGTGCTGTTCTTGGTATATGTGAACGACATAATGGAAGGGATAGGCTCAGAAGTGTCCTTGTTTGCAGGTGATGTGAAGTTAATGAGAAGAATCAAATCGGATGAGGATCAGGCAGTACTCCAAAGAGACCTGGACAGGCTACAAGCCTGGTCCAGCAGGTGGTTCCTTGAGTTTAACCCTGCAAATGCAAAGTCATGAAGATTGGGGAAGGGCAAAGAAGACTGCAGACACAATATAGTTTAGATGGCCAACGACTGCAAACCTCACTCAAGGAAAAAGATCTGGGGGTGAGTATAACACCGAGCATATCTCCTGAGGCGCACATCAATCAGATAACTGCTGCAGCATACGGGCGCCTGGCAAACCTACGGATAGCGTTCCGATACGTCAGTAAGGATTCGTTCAAGACTCTGTACACCATTTACGTCAGGCCCATACTGGAGTATGCAGCACCAGTTTGGAATCCACACCTAGTCAAGCACGTCAAGAAATTAGAGAAAGTGCAAAGGTTTGCAATAAGACTAGTCCCAGAGCTACGGGGATTGTCCTACGAAGAAAGGTTGAGGAAAATCGGCCTGACGACACTGGAGGCCAGGAGGGTCAGGGGAGACATGATAACGACATATAAAATACTGCGCGGAATAGACGAGGTGGACAAAGACGGGATGTTCCAGAGATGGGACACAGACACAAGAGGTCACAATTGGAAGTTGAAGACTCAGATAAATCAAAGGGATGTTAGGAAGTATTTCTTCAGTCATAGAGTAGTCACGCCGTGGAATAGCCTAGAAAGTGAAGTAGTGGAGGCGGGAACCATACATAGTTTTAAGGCGAGGTATGATAAAGCTCATGGAGCAGGGAGAGAGAGGACCTAGTAGCAATCAGTGAAGAGGCGAGGCCAGGAGCTATGAATCGACCCCTGCAACCACAAATAGGTGAGTACAAATAGGTGAGTACACACACACACACGCACACGCACACGCACACGCACACACACACACACACACACACACACACACACACACACACACACACACACACACATACACACACACACACACACACACACACACACACACACACACACACGCAAGGAGACGCAAGGAGGAACGAGAAGCAATGAAAATGAGCAGGACCCAGACACAGGAGGAAGGGCAAACACACCCCACAGAATCTCCCACCAAAAGACCCCACCCGCGACATTCCCAACGCAACTGAGCAACCTATACTCCAACCCACTCACTGTTCCCTCTGCCACCAACCCCCATATCACAAACCTCACCCCAACAGCTGTCCCTTATGGGCATTCTGACCCACCCCCATCAACACATACCCCACCTACACCACAGCCCATATAGGCCCCCACCAAGGCTCTCCCTCCCCAACCCCAATATACTTGCATGACCACAATGATAGAAAGAAACTAAAGGTTTGGTACACAAATGCGGATGGAATAATGATAAACATGAGGAGTGGAATGAAAGAATCAGTGAAAAATCCCCGACATCATAGCAGTCACAGAAACAAAACTCGCTGAGATAATAACAGACACAATCTTCCCAACAGGATATCAGATCCTGAGGAAAGATAGAAGGAGTGTAGAGGGGGAGGAGGGGTTGCACTGCTCATAAAACACCAATGGGGATTTGAGGAAATGGAAGGCATGGACATGATTGGAGGAAAGAGACTACATTGTAGGTACAATTCAGTCCGGAGA